TTCGACTTTTTTATCTCATAATTATGACTTTACATGGGAATTTTATTTTTTTCAAGTGGCGGAAATGGGCTTCCATAGTAAAGTAACTTGTTACTAGTTACTTTTATAATTTAGTAACTAATAAAGTAACTAGTTACTTTTTTGAGAGCAGTAACTATAACTATTACTAGTTACTTTTTAAAAGCAACTTGCCCAACACTGGCTTTAAGGCATGTAATGTTCTTCTGACCTAATACAACCAACCAGATTATTCTAATTAGTGAAGAATGATTCCATCAATCTAGACTAGACATTTGAAGTGCTACAGAGGAGAGTCAAAAAGTCTGTGACCAATCCCAAAAAGTTGTTCTGTATTACTTTATTGTGTTCTCATTTTCTTCAATTGAAATGATCTACAATGCTGTACCTAAACAATTTCCAACAACAGAGGCAATAATGAAGTATTGATCTCTTTTGCTGATTGGAACAGCATGGCTTATCCACTTATTATTTCATCTTCAAAGTCTACTTGTTGCCATGGTGATGGATGACAAATAGAACGCTATTAAAGTTAGATTTGCAGTTATGTTGCATCTAGCATAATAACATAACATTGACTGATTGTTTTCTGGAATCATAATTACGATTGCTCGATGCCAAGGTGTAAGCAGTGTACTTTTGCGTACATCTGTTCTTCCAGCGTCGTACCTCTTAGGTTTTTCACCTCTTTTTTTTTTTTTTTCGAAACACACACCTGCACACACACAGTCACAGAACACAGAAGGTTGGTTCAAAATGCAACAGAAACTATCTTTATGTAAGGCTTGGTCCAGGCAAGGCAAGGGAAAACAGAACAGAATTTCTGCTGAACACAAACAAGAATCCAACGAAAGAACTGGATTTAAATACAAGCAGAACCAACAAGGAGATGACTTGCCAGTGTACAGAAGATCAGGTGGTTGCAGGGCCAATGTGAACTAAACATGTCTGGACAAATAATAAAAATAGGCGGGAAAACACACAGAGACAGGAAATAAAAAGACACAGGGGAAGAACACTTTTCAAATGAATCCAGAAAACTAGGATCATGACAAATAATGAGAACTGTCTGATCAAGGCCATGTTTTCTTGGATTGAATGGCTAAAACACGTAATGTTAAATAGACCATAACAACAGGTGGGGTCCTAGGGTTCAGGTGGAACCAAAAATACTTTAGGACTATAGGGAGTCAATCAGGGTCTGATTTGCACCTGTCTGAGAATTTGGGATGGCATCAAACACCATCAGAAATGACACTAGGTCAGTTTTAAGAGCTACATGGGAATATGTGGACCAACATTCATCAATAAGCTAACCTAGGTTAGCCACCAAGTTGCTAATATTGATCAATAACAAGGTTTTTCGAAACGTAATTGGACATAGATTTAACCAAAAACACTGAAGCTGCTCTTAAGATCATTATTCACTAAGAATAGAGGAAGAACAGTGATGTATTCCCTATCACTGATAAGATAAGATAAGATGTATTTATTGATCCCAATTTGGGAAATGTTTACGTTACTGCAACATAAAACAGCACACCTGGGTGTTCTTGGATTGAATAGGCAATACAAAAATAACGTCTTTTAACAAAAGTAAAGGTTTGGGTGCCACAAGGAAATTGAAGTCAGGAGGCTCCTCACAAACATTGTACTTAATATTTATGGTACATAATAATAGTTTTATGGGCATATTGGAACTCTAGTTAGCTATAGTCAAATCCATGGCTAGTGTGGCCTACTGCCTCCACCCAACTGCCATTGCTCCTAAGTTGGAAAAAAACTGGTGTGAAAGTACTTTGACAGTTAAACCATAATGAATTTGACAAGCCACATGTGATGTCATTGAAATATTCTTACAACATATTCTACTGAAACGGATTTTGTAAACTAAGCATTATGCATGGCTGTATGCTTGATTGTATTCACCTGTTAGTATTGAACCCATTCATTGGAAGGGCTTTCAAAATGAGTCAAAACAAACCGCAGTCGTTAACTTAAGACATTGCAGTTGAAGCAATTACCTTTAATGCAGTTGCTACCAATGCAAATGGAAACATACTCAACCTTAATCAAATGAATGTAAACAAGAATCTCAGCCACGCAGACTTTTATATTCTCTAGTTATTTGAGATATAATGTGCAGTGGCACTTCAAAGAAGAGTTCACCGGTTATTGAACCAAACGCTATCATGGGAAAATGTAAACAAATGATTGCAGGAAGGATTTAGATAAAGTTAATATTAGAGCGTTAATCCAGTTTTTATTATGCTGTTATACTGACTGAAAAAGAGGGCAAGCACGAAAAAAAAAAAAAAGAAGACAGCTGCTCTGTAGACTTCATTTAAGGCTCCGAATCTTTATTCAAGGCAGCAATAATCTCTGTTTTCTTCTTGCCGTCTCTTCCCCACATCTGCTCATCTCTCCCTGCTGAATGACCAAAAGCCATCTTTCTCTTTCCGTCTGTCTCCCCCTCTTCTTCAGTCTCTCCATTTCCCTCTCATTTGCTGCCAGATGAAATGCATACATGCTCCAACGGTAGAATAGAGACGCGCGGAGAAGTGAACAGATGTTGAGACAGATGGGTGGATGCGGAGAGAGGTGTTGAATAAACACCAAGACAGACCAGGATCTATTTTTAATAAATATGATCATAGAATATTAACAGATCCTCTCTCTAGGTTTAGCTCACTGTGACATTTGTGGCAGTGTAAACAGAAGTTAAATATTAAGCAGAGCGGAGACTAAGAGACCGCCGTTAAGCTTTGGGAGTTTTTTATTTTTATTTTCTGTGTTGTGAATATAAGATGAGGTGGCACGAAGAAGGTTGGATGACAGGCAAATTAACAAATAGTTAACACGGAACCACACAGCAAAAACACAGCATCAAAAGTAAATATAATTGCAATTTCTGTCGATTAAAGTGGGAAGTAGACTAGTGTGAATGTTACTTAGCAATCTGTTAAGCCTGTGGTGGGAACACATCAGCAACACATCTGGAGGAGCTGTTAAAACCTAACTTTCTTCTTAAAGTGGGCTCAAACACACAAAAGAAAACAAATTATAAATAAGGTTTGCAAAAGAACGTATTGTTTTGCATTTAAAAAAGGCGTAATACCAAACTATCCCCTCAGTCACTGATGAAATTGAGATTTATTTTCTTCCAAACATCATTAATAATTCATTTCGAAATGATAAAATCGATATAAATCTGATTTATTGCCAGACGCTCCTCAAATCAAAGGCTGTTTTTCCCCGACCTGTTCAGCTTCCTTTTACAACATCCCATCCTGCTCTCAAAGAAGCATTCTCAATGTCAGAAATACTTTTGTCTATTAAATGCGGCAGTCTGAAAATCTATCTACTATCACTCGCTCCCATGCATGTGCCGGTTTATTATACTAAGTTCTAACTGTAAGGGAACTTCACTGAAATACAAACTGTCAGAGGATGGTATCGTATCACTTTCAGTTCCCTCTTCTAGAAAAACGTTATTGTAGTTAGATGCCTAAAATAATGTCTGTGGTAACACTGACTTCAAGAAATGTCACGTGTATTCCATGACATAAAATGTGTCAGTAAAGACGCACTGGTGAATGTCTGAATGGGTCTTCAATACGGCGGTTGCTAACAATCAGCTGAATGAACTGCTTCATCACGCCAAACATTCACCACATTTAGCTTAGCGATGGTGATGTGAAGTCATTAGAAAAACCCTCCTAAGAATCATATCCCTATTATGCACTCTAAGAATCAAATGAGTTATCTCATGAGTAATTTTATATTGAAATAGTTACTAGGCCTATATATTAATATATTTTAATTTGGATAGAGTATTATAGTACCATTTGCACAATCATGATCAATTGGATTAGTACAATGATCCATCTTTCAGTTTTTTGTGCATTATTATTACATACAGAATCGTTTTTTAACAGATATAAATAATGCCGTCTTTTATCATTTGATCTGTGAAGAGCTTCCAAGTTGTTTTCTGTTTGTAACTAACAACACTTTGATATAGTGAAAAAATTTCAGACAGTAATTATTCTGAACACCTTTTTTAATTCACAAAACATCACATTACTCAAAAGCTCCAAGGTGCAAGCTCTCAAGTGGCATCTAAAAGAAATACTGTACTAGAAAAAAAAGGTGGAAGGCATGATAATTACTTGTTATTACTGTTTTTTATTAAACCACACAATCACAACAGGCGGCAGGATGTCTAGAGTGGTCACGAAACAACCTTGATAAACACACTTTTACCAAGCCCTTCTCATGTTTACAAGCTAATGTGCGGGGCGTGGTTAGGTGTGTGAGTTCTAGTGGTTGAAGTGTCAAAGCATAAATGAACAGGTAGCATTATCAGATGAGAGGGTGGATCAGGCATGGCTCATGTCTTCTTCCTTTTTCTCCCTCTGACAGATTCCGAGCATGTGCGAAGGTCTGACATCTGCGACTTGTTTTGTTCTAGCTGCGAAGGGCTGCATTAGTTAGCGATCTGTGCCCTGAACTGTGGAGTATCTCTTCCGCCCTGGCTTGAATAATTGATCTCATCTTGAAGCGTGTGTTGCAAATTATGCTCGTTTTGATCCCATATCAAAGGAAGCTTAGTGTTTTAGGTTGTTCAACTACTGAGCCTTACACCGATGCCCCCAGGGCGCTTTGTACTGTGCTCAGCCTGCAGTCGGAAGCTGAGGGAAAAAAAATGTTTAAAAAAAGCTGGATTTAATGGTGAAAAAGACAAGAATAGTGGAAAGATATTTAAAAGAGGTAGACAATGGCTGATGGAAGAAAAAAATAGATTTTATTTTTGTCTACGTGACTTTCCTATCTGTGTATGAGTGTGCATGCTGCTAAAAATGAATAAATTGTTGCTATCCAATGAAAGATAGACAGATGTTTGTGTTCTTGTTGACAGAATAAGAACAACCTCATGTTTATCCTATTTTTCTCTCTCACTCTTTCTTATCTATTTTCAGACACAGCGTATGTTCGTGTTTTCATCAGCGACGTGAACGATAACAAGCCAGCGTTCGCACAGGCGTCCTACGAAGTCGATGTGGATGAGGACGCTGACGTAGGCTTCGCCATTCTCACCGTCAGTGCCAATGACGGGGATGAAGGTGGGTGGTATGGATAATGTGTGTATTTATGTGTGAAGGAAGCGATGTAGATACAAAATGGAGAGTTTATAGGAGCACATTTACTAAAGCACACTGCCTAAGTGTTTCTTTTTCCTTTCACTCGAGAAAAAACGTTTCACTTTACTGCTTTTGTTCGACCCCTTTCATTCTGATGAGGGGAAAAAAGCTGTTTACAACAAGTATGTCGTGAAAATGACAGCAATATGTCAGTCTAACCCGACGCGGTAGAAGGATCCTTTCAATGTAACCGTTTGATATTGATATACCTTTCACTTTTGCCTTAAAAAGATGTTGAGTTGACTGCAGCTGGTACATATCCTTGGAATCTTCAGACGTGGAGACATGGGTTTTTCAATATGTTTCCAACTTCCATGGCTTAATGGCAATATTTCTATTACCCAACAGTTTGAAAATATAGTGCACATATATGTTTTGTTTGTGATTTCATTAGTTCACTGTGGCGGAGCATAATATAGAAGTAAAGTGTCAATAACTACAACATAATCTCTCTAATAACATGGTGCAGAAAGGAGGGCTAAAACCCGGGAAATTAGTTATCATTTTATCACCACGGTTTGCTTGACGTAGAGTTTTTGGTTGGATGCCAGACATAAGATCTGTGATTAACACAAGCTTGAGAGATTTGGTTCTAAGACATGAATCCGTCAGTAAATGCCCCACTTTCTTGAAGCTTTTATGTGTATATGTTGCTAATAAGTGGCTACATTTGACCACTAAATGTCACCAAGCCAAACATTTGCTTTCCAGTTCTATTGAACTACAATAAAAGTTGTGTTTAATATGAGTTATCCTGCTCAACAAAACATGTTGGTATCACAAACGTGACAGAGCTTATCTTCTGCAATATTCCAAAAACCTATAGAGAATTCCCATTGGCTTTTTATCAAAGGACACCTTGGGGTGATAACTTTAAGGTCTGCCTACAAACATATGTTATCACTGCACCATTCTATTGTAAGTATGCACATTATATTCCTATTGTCAAGACACTCCATTCACTATTTCCTGAAAAGTGCTTTGAACAAACCAAATAGGAATTAACATTTTAACATCAGGTATAATTTAGTAATAACATATTTTTCCATTTTGGCTTGCACCCTATATTAATTACATAGGACTAACAGATTGACCTTTCCAGTAAAAAAACACTAATTGTGACCTGCTCTATCGAAATCAGTCGCATTGACCCGAAGACACATTTTGAGTTGTATACACTGCTGGAAAGAGGATATTCCTAGCTTTCTAATGATATCAGGATTGTTTTTGTACAACAAATATTAAGCGAAATATGTCACATTATATAATGACTGTCACCGAGTCATCATTTTGAGAAAAAGGCCTTCAAAGTTTCCTCTTCTCTGGAATCCATCGATCTGATTGATTATTAGCGGAGCAAATAATCAAAATACTACGGAGGGAAGATATTTTCGTTTGGATTACTGGTCTGGGAGAAGCTCGCGAGTGTGTGTGTGTATATGTGTGTGCGTGTTTGTATATTTTTGCGTTTGTGTGTATTGCGTTTGTTTCCCGGGGAAAACCCTCACGAGAAACCCCGGCTGTTGTTAGGCCTGCTGTGACGTTAAGTTACTCC